AGAAGCATATGAGATGGCAGGTACAGTAGGTGAGAAAGGTGTAGACAGCTGCTCGATGGAGTTTTCTTTCAGCTGTCTGCTTGGAGAAAAGCGCTTCTCAATGATAACGTCAAATTTGAAAATGCTACAACAGGAAGTGCTACTACTGTCAATTTTAAAACAAAGTCGCCGGAGTGATGGGAGTCTTCTGAAGAGTCTTCAGTATGATTGGCAGCACTTGGCATGAGAATTTAAAGCTTTATGTGCATAGCACAAAAATATTGTGAGGGCTGATGACTTCACAGATGTTTAAATATCAGCTATAAAATGTAACAGGGTGTTAAAAAATGAGAGAAACCGTTGGTGCCAAAAAATGAAATCTTTTTCATTTTTGAACTATTGCAGCACATACCCTTTAGCCATTAGCTTTGAAGCTCCCTTTATGAAGTGAAACGAATAACTGAAAACACTGTATATTTTAATTACAAAGTTTTAAACGACCCATCATTTTATTAGCCTGTCAATAAATGCAAAAAAAAACACACATTTCACCTCAAATATCTTTTAAAGCATTTAGAATTGACAGACTACCTTATATCCCAAATACAGCCACTAAAACCTTGTGCCATTCTAAGTAGCTCCCTGACCACAGTTCACCAGATTCAGATCCCATTCTGTTCTCTAAAAGGCTAGACTCAGTGGTAGGATAACATTTACTCCAAATACGATGAATGCAGACAATTTCTATTTCAGTCCTGTGATAACTCTGTCAGTTTCACCCTGTTCTTTGGCAGGAGAACCTCTGAAGTTATTACAGAACACTGTCAATACTCCATAGATAGCACACCGCAGTCAAATACTCTGCCCTTAGGATATTTGCTGCTTCGACCTTGAAGTGGAATTTTTTAATTCAAATCAATACCACAAGGTCACTTTAAAATTCAATTAATAAAAAAAAGTGTAAAATACTCCTCGCACTGCTTCCCTTGAACCGATTATGAGAACAGTGAACAGCTGTTCAAATTTGAAAGAAAGAAAAAATAAATTAAGATTTGTATTATTAACGACCAAGGTGTGCTAGAAATAGGTTCTTCATGGTGCAAAAAAAATAGATTCCTTGTAGAGCGACAACAAAAATCCAAATTTAACCCTATAAGTTTGAGATATTAAAAATAATATTTTAGACGGTGCTCAAAAACAAATGCATATCTTTTGTTTCACTTGGATCCTTGTGCAAAACTGCAAGACAGATTCTGCTAAAATATGCATGCTAAGCAACTGCACACATTCCATTTTTAAGCTTCCCTGAAGGAAAAGGCTTGTTTCTACTAAGCAATCGGCCATCACGTGTCTTGCAATGCTTTGCTCTGTCTATAAATACACACACAAAATAGCTAAATAAAACCTCTCATTTATCCTGAACCTGCCGTTTAACTGTATGCACAATGCAATTCAGCGTGTGGGATATACAGGGGTGCCCCAGGAACATGCCAAGCCGGCTGAGCGCTAATTAACAGTAGCTAATTATCAGAGAGATGCACTCCTCACTGCAGTCTGTCACTGAAGGGAATTTGCTGGTCTCTTCCCCTGACCCCAATCTCATGCCCTAATTAATGCTGTATCATTCCTGCCACAACTGCTGCCGCGTCTGTTTACAAGCAGCCATTTAGGACGGAAAAGAGAGCAAGACAATTAATTTTATACCTAGTAATGATGATTAAGTAAACATGTAAAGCCCATTTAAACATACCTTCCAAAATGCACAATTGTGTTTTCATGTTATTACACAAGTGATAACAAAACAATGCAGGATTTTGCAGAATATTACCTAAAGGCTGGGGCTATAGTGGAATACTCCAAAGCTTTTACTCCCTTCACATAAGCTTATTTCAAAGAGCTGAGTGGTTGAAATGAAATGAAAAATAATCCAAGACACGCAAAGTGTGCAGCAAACTATTTTCTGCATGTAAAGAAATTCCAAAAAAACAACAACAATTGTTTGTACGGTTGCATTATCTGAAGGTTGTACTTTTTACTGCACCTGCACTGAAATAAGCACATTAGTAGCTTTTAATAAATGTTTGATGCAAACTTTATATGAATACTTGGAAGGAAGGAATAAATGGTAAAATCGCCTCGTGCAAAACATTATAGAAGTGCGTATGATACAAACCACATTTGTAAAGTCATTATATAAAAACTGAACTGCATTTGGGGTTTAATATTTTAGTATTGCCAGAAGACCTGAGAGAGAATTGTATGGGCACATCCCAGGGAATGCAGCTTCAGGCGGCAGTGAGATGCTGAGTTGGATCAGTCCGCCAAGTTCAAGGATAGAATTGGTTAAATCCGGCCAGCGAAAACGTAAAAGTTGCATTTTGTTTGGAAATATTACATTATATTTCCTTGATTTCACTGTTGCCAACTAAAAACATTAAAAACAATTATATGCACTGGCTTCATGGCCAAAAATAATTCCCTACCCATCGAGTGAATAAGACCTCAAAGTTAGAAATAAATAAATGGCTCCAAACCTACACTCGCTACTTGATCACCTCTCAGGAATTTATTGTTCTTATTTTTGATTAATCCTAGGCTTGGGATTATAGTTGCGATTTTTTCTCCCTTTTTCAAAGTATAGAAATGATGAGAAGCTTAATCAAAATGTCTAAGGCATTTTCAGGAAAAAAGCGATTAATGATCAGACTAGGCTACAGCTGCTTTTGTGAGACAGATTACAGAGGCAGTAAGGAAAGCACATGGTCTTCTTTTTAATGCAGATTTGGTGGTATACAGATAATTACTACATGTTGATTCATTTTTGTAAGTGGCAACCTCTATTTTGTTCTTAAGTTTTTCATGATAAACATCATAACATCAGTAAAACAAGATCTCTTCGAATCAAATTAGATATGGATTGCACCGGTAAAAGGATCAAAAAAGCTCATACTGTATCTAGTATTTCCAAAAGGTTGAGCTTCACTCTTTATATTTTGAATTTTGATTGTGAAGAAGTTTCTGTCATCTTCAACCTCAAATTAATAAAAGGGTGACAGTCTGTATGGTGCTTACATTTCTCATGCTGTATTTTAATTGGCTACAACACTGAAGTGCATGAAACTCACCAAACCTCTGCTCTTGGCAGCACCAGGGAATGACACAGAGAAATTAAAAGTGCACCAGCACTCCTCATTCATGAGAGCTACACATTGCACCTTTATTTTCCTTTTAGACATGCTTCCTCAGTTCCTTACCCTTTTGTTTCTGATTACAACCCTCTTGTAGATGACAGATGGCTTTCAAAAGATGAAGGAAGAACATGCACTAGAGCACCCCCCTATCCACACGCAAATCGTTTCTGTTTCACAACGAAAACAAACAGCTCACTAATTTAAGAATGTCACAGGAGATGGTGGGATCAGCGCTTGTTCAAGTCTCAAAAGCAGGTGCTGTCAAAGTTCCTGTCAAAACTGCAAGAACAGGTGGCCCAGTTCTCAAGTCATAATACACTGATACATTGAATCCTGCCACCGGGAATGAAATGGGCATCTTTTCGAACTATAATAATCACAGATAGCATCGCAAGAAAGTCAAGGAATGAAGGAAGGAACTTGCAACACCCTACTGTGAATGCTACTAAATGAAATAGATAACTACATAACCTGTCCACTATTTTATTTTCCTTCATCTACAAGTGCAGGCAAAAGGCAATGTTTGTCGCTACTACCTTGCTTCTGGTATTTTAAGAATATATAACATTACTGGAAACAGGGATTTTCAATATTTTCAGAACTCAGTGAACCAGGGAACACATTATTTAGCTTTTAAAAATGAAAAGTTGAGCATCCAATCATTGAATGTGAGCTATACCCTATATGTGCTGAAAGGGAAGGCTGTTTACTCCAACTAGAAAACAGGTTATGTAGTCAGACGCTAATAAGCACTGCAGAGCGACATCTTTGAAATAAATGTAAACAGTTCCTATCGTTCTTAGGCTGGCTCATTTCACATACCTGATAATACCAACATCAGGTTCTACAAAAAGCAACCACTGTCATCAAAGGGTGTTACTTTAATGGGGCTGTTAGTTTATGCTGTTGTCTAGTCATGCAGAGGTAACACTAATGCACTGCTGCTTACTGATAGTGCCATGTCCTTGATGCTGCTTGCACTTTTAACCTTGTGACTTCATCAAAGAAAGAAAACTTAGCAACCCAGAGATAATGACCACAAATCCATTAAGTTGGCCAAAAGCACCAGTTTAAACTCCCACTCACAAGACAGAGCCCACACACCCCCGTCAGCTCTACACCCTCCTTAGTGATCACAGCTAAGGCTACAGATTTTCAGCTACGCTTAAGCAGCTACAGATTATCAGGGTTGACATGCAGCATGCTCATAAAGCTAATAGGTGCAGCTAAAATGCATGTCTTCTGTTTCCATTTCAATTCACTGGTTTCTGAGGTGGGACATGACATCTTTTACTGTACCTTATCATATAATCCTTTGCATAGGTTTATAGCTGAGAAAGTGTCTGTTCTATACTCCAATCTTAAAAAACGTGGGCTTCCAAAGGTCTCACAAATATATCTTACAAAATTACCAGTAGTGCAAGAGAAAGGTCAGGTATCCTCACCTATAGGAGAGTGTATCAAGTGTTCTGTGGACAGTTACAAAGCTTTTAGCGCTAGCAGCTCTACGCCACTAACATCACTAAAACGAGCTGGTGTTAATGAACCAAAAATTAGAATAATGGTCAAAAGGAATAAAAGTACTGTAGATAGGTGTTATTGGTTTTGGGGACATCAAGAAAAAGCCACTCAACTCCAGGCAAATACATTTATTCACACCTATCACATTTAAAACCAAGGTGCCCCAGAGTCATTAGGAAGATGATACAACATTAACACTCCACAGAAATATGTTTTAAAACGAGGAGGAACCTAGAACTGAAAACGATAAGGAGGTTGGAACTGAATACCTTAGAAAATGAACTCATAATGCTTGAGAATTCATCTTACCAGAAGTACAGCTGAGGTACCATTGGGTCTAGATAGCTCAATTGTCATATCGGGAAACATGCGTCCAATCCGGGATATGACATCGTCAACATACCTAAAAGAAAGAAAGAGAACATCATTTTTACAAGTTATTACTTATGTAACCCCCTACCTCCCTGAAAGAGCACACTGTGGTACTGAAAAGTGTTACCACCATGCCACCTGATCCCAGCCTGGTCAGTACTGTATGAGAAACCTCTAAGAAAAAACAGGTTGCTTCTTTAAGTGGCATTGGTGAACCAGTAGGTGGTGCTCTTCCCTCTGGATCAGAATTGCCAAACCAATACCCTAGAAATATGACCATCAGATAACAAACAAGGTTCTCACTGCCAGATCATTAAAGGTTCCATGGTGCTGTTTTTAACAGCAGGGGTGATTCTATACATCACTATTATGACCAAAACAAAGTTATTTGGATGATGCTTTTAACCAAAGCAACTTACATTGCACTCAGTATTTTTACTGGAGGAATTTCGATAAAGTACCTTGCTCAAGAGTAGACTAGCAGTATCTCACTTGAGACATGAACCCACAATTTTCCAGTTAAAGTGGCACTCCACACTGCTGCCCTTGCAGTGGGTGCTGTATTTCAGTGCTGGGTGAAGTGCAAAGTACAAAATATTTTTGCAGTTGAGTGTTATCCAGTCATAAATCAGTGTGTTCACTGTATCACTCAGCTTGAGCATTAATGTCTTCAACGGAATCATGATTTCTTGTCAAATGCATGCCCACATTAACTAAAAAATGTAAATCTTTTGGCTTTCATAAAACAAAAAAACTGCCTTTGTTCATATTTCTCCACTTAACTGAAACAATTTTGTCCATTTCATGTTGCAAAAATATTGAAATAACACTTCCTGTCAGCAACAGAATGGTGTCCAGCTGGTTAGAATGACTGATAGGGTATCGGTGGTAATTCACAGGCTGCCATAATTATTTTTCCATCATCTTTATGTGGTGTTGCAACGAAGCGAGAACACGTCATCACTCAGGCTGGAAATCAGGTCTGCCATAAACCAGTTTGTGCATCGAAGAAGAGACCCTGTTTCTGAGAACAGGAAACCATCTTTCCTACAAAAAAAAAAGGAAGTGGCACCTACTTTGGCACTTTGCAAACTCGCTCTATGTCCACAGTTTTAAATAATTTCCAGCAATGCAGACAAGGACCTGATGAATAACTTACTACACTAGGGTTTTTTTTCTCCTCTGCTGGAGCTTGAGTGAAACTTGGCAGGTTTGTGCGTAGGAAGAGTGTTGCTGTTGGCAAGGCTACAGCACAGTTAACCTATGTTATTCCACAATAACTTACTGACTGGTGTTAAAATAAAGGCATACTATATGTGACCACATACGTAAATTAAATTGGAATGCATAAGTGATTTCTATACACTTTTTGTATGGATTTAAAAATAAACGTGTCAGCATGTGTTCCTGTTTCTCTGAAGCCCTGTATGTACCCCAGAAATGCCCTAAAAGTCAGAGGGTTGGCAAGTAAAAACCTTGGACTTCAGTGACTAATTTCTCTCTAATATTTAAATCATGTAATAAAGTCCAGCAGCAGATTATTCTAAATATCCTTATTGTCAAGCCAAGGCCAGCAAGAGGTTCTTCTAATGGTGTATTGTACATCTTATTCAAGGGGACGTAGAATACAAGGTCCACTCAGGTACTTCAGTCACCACTGATTCATAACATCATCACGTCAAAACCCTGACAGGACCCTCTGTCTCAAGACCTCAATGCCATTCATCAGTACTCCTGGCACAAGGTCCTCAAGTCTCAGACCTCATATTTGTGCATGTCAGCAGAAAGCAACTGTCAGGCTGCCACTACTTACAGCCAGAGGTCACCGTTAACTATATGCTAATCAGGATTTAATGAATATCTCTTTATTGCCTGCAATCAATACATTTCAGTGAGGGGCGTGGAGCATAATGCAAAAGAGCAAAAACGGGAAAAAAAAACGATTCACTGAAGCTGAATTATACCAAGTCGGAGTGCATGTCTAAACATTCAGATTTTTTTAGGCCTCAAGGTTTTTCTAAAGCTTTGGAAATTTATAGTACAATATATCTTCTTTAACTCAGTCTGCCACTTACACATTTTACATAGCTTAGCTTGTTTCAAAAGCTGGTCCTTCCTTGTCACCTACATAAGGCTAAAGAATATACTACCACACCTCATCTTCATTAAAATTGGGGTTTAATTATTATTAATACAAGGTATGTTCTCTATGAACAAACCTAATGTTTTACTCTAAACATGAAATAGTCTCAAAAGTGGAAAAGGTATACATTGCACATTCTTTGATATTTTATAACAAGTTATAATCTCAGTTTGGGCCTTAACTTTAGATTAAAAGCATGAAACTATTCTTGACTATAAACATGTGTCTTCAGGAGATACAAAGAAAATGAATGCATTCAATCTGTTTATTATTTGCTACAGAAAGGTGAAAATTAGATTGGAATGAATGAACAACCAGAAAATAAGACTCTTCATCTCTGTAACCTTCCTTTCCATCAAATCATAAATATAATAAAAAACTAAGGTGCTTGGAGGTATTCCATTGTTACAGGATAGCCCTTCATCAAACCAAACCATGGAATTACTCACAATTTATCTCAAGCATGGTAATTTATTTGTTACAGGAAGGCCAAATGAGAATAAGAAATAAGAACAACAATAACATTGTATTTGCGGCATATAAAGGTGTCAGTAAGGTTCAAGATGAGGCTTGCTTTGCAATTCTGGCGCCAATTAATTCACCGCATAGTGTGGGCTTTTTGGGTGCAGAATAATAATTGACTCTTTCCCACTTGATATTTAAATTTTGTCACGGTTTATCAATCTGAAGAAAAGATTCCTGCTCAAGCTGTAGGCCAGTTCTATTTTGACACTGAAAACTATTTCAGAAGAGACAATACTTAGGAAGCTAGAAATTCTGAAATATATATTTTATATGGTAATCTTTAGTGGGTTAAGGCCTGTTTCAGGGAAAGCTACCTGTACCTCCACCTACAACACTGCATTTCTACCTGCAGTTTTTTCAGATACTCACTTTCTCTATTTCATAACACTTGTCCTAATCATCCTGGGTCAATCTTTTTGCAGAACCCAGATCAAATTAAATTCCCACATTTTAGGAAATTACAACCAAGGTACTGTAGGTAGGATTAGCAAGAAAAGCAAGATCATCATAATCAACAAGACTACACCTGACACATGCAATTGTCTATGCAGGACAATTTAGGTTTATGCCTATATTGGTAAACATCCTTCTTTCCACCATCTAGCCACAAGCTAAAGAATTTATCATTTAAATTGCTCCTATTACAGGGCTATTTCTTAGAACTGGAAATGAACAAGGTTCATCTAGGAAACAAGCAGACAAAATGCACCACCACAGAGCCCACAGATTTCCCTGAACTGCATATAATTAGCCCGATATAATCTTTCTAACTAATTCTTCTCTTTTCACCAGGGCCTAGAAAATAAAACTAAAATATTGCTCCTGCTAGATGGAGGAACTATCGAGGAGGACTGAAATCCCTTCAGCCCATGAATTTAAATCAGCTCACTTTTAATGCACTTTTTAAAATTAGGATCTCTCTTTGCATCTGAAGAATTAACAATTCAATTATTTCATAGGCGTACAAAAAGCAGACAAATATACGGTGATCTGTAATCAGTTGAAAAGGTTTCAGTAGATTATAAAACAGGAAAATATCCAATCCCAATGTTACTGTTATAAGGCATTTCGAATTCAAAGTTCACCTCTCTTTTCAAGTCCACAGAAGTAAGAATGCATGTGATCTACCAGCCTTTGCTATTTCACAAACCACATGCTTTACTTAGGTGAGCAGAAAGCTGCACTTTTCACTGCTAAACATGGGCTTTTCAAGAAAAATCATCCAAACTCATAATTTTTCATGTAAAAAATGATGTACCCAGGTATCATTAGTTAAATCAAGAAATTAATAGTTATCTTGTTGTATACCCAAAACCACTTAAACCATTAGAAGCCAAAGTCTGTACAGAGCACTGTTATTTTCAAGAAAACATGAGATGCTGAAAACATGTTTTACTTCTGTAGTGCTCTAACAATCTCCCGAAGCAAATATTTGAAGGCTGGTATTTCTTACATATACTACTTCGCTCTACAGTATGGTAAGCATATTACTTATAAACGTATTGGCCTTTTGACCTGTGTTCGTAGAGTCTTACAATTGAAGCTATAAAAATAATAGAGGGATACACAAAAGGTCTTTAAAATAGAAATGTCACAGGATATAAAATGGGAGCATACTGCTCAAGGAGAAAGATAAATCTTAGCTTCTTCTGCAAATATAAATAATTTAAGTCTAAGGTTCTGCATGATTGTCCTCAGATGTTACTGTAGTTATAAAAGAAATGGTGTGATTGACGGGCTAGACTTAAAGGCTTTGTGAATTGCCCATCTTCCCTACTGTTTTCACTAATGGCACAGATAAATGTCTGAAGTTGGATACGTGTCAGAACATGCCAGAAAAAAGGGATTTTAGGTACGTTTACACTACCAATTACATATTGTCTACTCGCATATGGATTTCACAGTTCAAAAGTACCTGTGTGGAGGGATCAATTTTATTTTGTTTTTCTTGTTATTGTTACATAAAATCACATAGCTTTATCAATATACAGTATCAGTTCAGAGACTGCTTTCTTCAGACATTCTCCTCTAATGTACTGTGCCATTGTTTGTTATTTGCACTTTGTTTACTGTAAATATACAACCCGAAGAGTGTTTACACTCAAAAGTGCTGCTCTGTATCCACGTGGATTTGAAATTCATTTGTTTCTATTTTTCTTCTTGAACAGTGTATGCATTGTGCTTCACACTTTATAGTGCAAGCCTTATCATAATTTTATTTGCTTAATTTTATTAATACTTGTATGCAATGACACCTATCATTTCCTTCCTACCTAAACTTAATGTAAAGCTTGTATATAATATGTTACCCTATATACTGAAGCTTGCTAATAAAATAACATCAACAGATGTATTACACACTC